GTTCAATGTAGAGGATTCATAAAGCAAATGTACCTCACAGGGCCTGGTTTATCAAAGCCTTACAGTTTCAAATATTGACCTTACAAAGAACAGGAAATTTTCCCCAGGCTATTGAGTCTCTGTTGCAAGTAAGAATCATAACACAGCAAGGCTGCTGGTTCAAAGACAGACAGATTACTAATTGATATGTAAAGTTACTAAAAAGCTGCTGGAGGGAGAAGGAATGTTTGCTAAATCAAGCTTTTGTTAGTGGATCGACTTAATTGTGTGTTACCAGCTTCTATTGTTAAAACTTGTTAAACTGTGCTTAGCAAAACCCCACCGATGTCTCTCCCTGTAACTTGCTGGTCTGGAGAATAAATGCAGGAAGAGAACCCAAATTTGTGGTTAATTTCCAGAATGGAAGGATGCTTCATGCTTGAGGGTCCTGAGATATTAACCCCCTTCTTGGGCTTCTCACTGCTCAAAAGAGATGGACTTTGCCTAATCTTTGGCAGCTCCATCACCCAGGGGAAAAGGGGTGACAAATCTGTGGGAGGCAAAGCAACAGTTCAGTCCAGGCGGTCAGACTCCAGAGCTTGTGCCCTTAACCTTAATATTATGCTACCTCCCATAATTATTTTCACATAGACCAGACATTTAAAAAAATTTTCTTTTTAGATGCAGACTCTTTTATTCAAGGGGAGTCTTGGCCAAAGCATAAAAAGTAATACAGATAGATGTGGAGGTGCTCTGACTGAGTCAGGATGGCAGTGGTAGGGTCTGGAGCCTTGACTCCTCCCTGCACTTTTTATAATTCCTGAGTCCCTGGGGCTCCTGGAGACACATTTCTCTTCTGACTTGACCCTTCCTGGGTCTCAACTTCTCTCTAGTAGATCTCTGTTATTAAATGCAGTCAATCCTCAATATTCACAGATTTCATATTTGCAAATTCACCTACTCACTAACATTTATTTGTAACCCCCAAGTCAATATTCACGCTTTCATGGTCATATGTGCAGGGAAAAATTTGGGTCACCCACGTGCACATTCCCAGCTGAGGTTAATCAGGTGAAGCCATGCCTTCCTTTTATTTTTTGTATTTTTTTTTTTTTTTTGCTTTTTGTTGGTGATTTTGCTGTTCAAAATGGTCCCCAAGCACAGTGCTACAGCACTGCCCAGTGTGGCTAGGTGCATGAAGGCTGTGGTGGGCCTTACAGAGAAGTATGTGTATTACAGAATGTTCTTTCAGAAATGAGTTAGAGCATTGTTGGCCGTGAGTTTAATGTTAATGAGTTGACAATGTATATTAAACATGTATAGAATATATCAAATATGGTATCTTTAGACAGAAACACACATAAAACAAAGTTATATATTGATTGGTTGATGAAAATGTTATGACCAGGGACTCACAGGAATCTAACCCCATATTTTCCCAAGGAGCCTCTAGCATTCACTGATTTAGTGTTTGTGGCAACTTCCTAGAACATAACTACCACAAATAAAGAGAATTGACTATAGTTATTTCAGTTTCTTTGAGAACCTCTTATAGGCCAAATAGAAGATGCTAGAACCTTCATTAAATTAACCCTAATTCTCAACCCTGTAAGTGAAGTATCATTATTCCCAATTTATGGATGGTAAAACTGAGCCCTAAGTAACTTCCCAATGTCACTAAACTAGACAAAAGGGAAGCCAAGGCAGAGTAGAATCGCTCTGTTACTCTTTCCTTTTAGCTAACTGCGTTCAGTTAGGGGGCTAATCCCAGTTCGGTGTCTTGCGCGTTTCAGCTATATCCACGTCCCGTCTCCCACTTGGCTTCTTTTACATTGTGTTGAGCACAGTACTCCCCCAGATCTCTCTCTGCTCCACAGACACACACATGGAAACTTTCCCACTCATTCTGGGATACTTTTGTAGGGAGATAGGCCGGCGATTGTTGCTCTGGCCACGTCCTCCTCGTCAGCCTCTTCCTGTTCTATCTCGTTTCTGGTTGCCATTGAGGTCAGGATTTACAGGTAAAGCAAAAATGTCTCCTAGCAGGAGAGAGAGTGACAGAAAAGGAGAGGGAAAAGACAGGAATGGGGACAGGGCAGACTGAGAGGAGGAAGGGCACCTGGGTCTGCTCAGAAGATGCTGCTATGGCAAAAGGAAAGACGGAGGGCGGCAACCCCAGAGGCAGGCCCTGAGATGTACCTGTCACGGACACCTGTGTAATTCTTTATATTTTAAAATCATTTTCATGTCTGTGGTCTTATTTTGCTCATCACAACCACTCTGAGCAGGTGAGGTGCATGTTCTTTTTTCTACTTTATGGGTGAGAAAACTAAGGCCTGAAAAACTCTGGTGATTTGCTCGAGGCCTTGCAGTTCTAATGTACTTCACATCTGGAAGAGGCTATTTCTATCGTACAGCAAAATTCAGTCATTGCTTTCCTGGTATTTCAGTTTTTAAGCCAATATCATGAACAGTCTAATAAGACACAAAGATAGTCTCTTTTGCTTTACACTTGCACCATATGACTATTTCAATATTTAGACTTCACTACAATTTCTCTGAATGTTATTGCTCTTGTCAAAGCATTTGCCTAACATATAGCAAAACCACTCTTCCTTTCAAGGGGGTCCACATGTTTCTGGTGGACGGGAGCGTGTCATGCAAGTAAAGATGAGAGCAGCTTTGTCGTGCTCCTCTTCTGGGAATTTTTCTAGGGATATTACTAAAGTCAAGAATAGATCAGAAATGAAGAAAAGGTAGGAATATAAAGAATAGCTTTCATGGAAAATTGAAATCGTTCCTTTGAAAGTTCACAATTTCCACCCTGATGATAGATCCCCAGCCTTGCAGAATGGGTTCTCCCTGGGTATAAAGGTGACCGCCAATGAGAGGGTTTTGAAGTGACTGTGATTGATGTCAGCAGGGCCACATGGTGATATTTTATTACAAACTGAATGGGCATTTATTAAGCAGATTCACTGGGAGCAGCTCTGGGCTAGATGGGGTTGGGAGGTGCAAAAGGAAGACACAAGCAATAAGACTTTAAAGGCCACTTAGAGATTGCAGTCCCCCCAGTGGGCCACACCTGCTTTAAGCTAGGTGCTCTCGAAGTCACCGTGCCACGTGTATCTCCCACAAATGCCGAGCGGACCGGCCCAGTTCTCCTTGTTGCAAGATGAGGCCATCTGGAGAGACTTAGTGATGTCCCCAGTGAGCAGGGGGCTGCCCTGGGCTCTGCACCTAGGACTTTTGTCTCCAGGTGAAGAGCTCCTGTCACTAACCTGCAGGGGAAGCAGCCAGAAAGGCACCGAGTCACAGTCTACAGTTGGGACACATGACAGAGGTGTGGATTTCTGCTGGCTTCAATAGTATAGGCATTCAGAATGAGCACCGTCCTTGTGGGTTAGGGATGGTGGGATGGTGGGGTGCGCTTCCTAGAGACGACAAAGCGTGAGCACTTTAGGGCTCCTTTCCCAGGTGAGGTGGTTGTGGAAATGTTTTCAAAAGGGAAATGCCTTTTTAAGAGACAAATTGACCTGGCTGGTTAATAAAAGTTTTCTTTCTCGGGTTAAAAGGAGTTGCTTCTTTTATATCCTGAAGCATCTGGCTGTCCTGGTGGAGACATGTGAGCGCTGCCCCAGGCCGGGAATATCCCGAGAGAGTAAGAATAGCCCACAATAAGAGATGATTCCTGCTGTCTGGTCACTGCAGTTGTCAGGCAGGATTGCTTTGGAGGCAAACGGCTTAAGGCCGTCTCAACTTGGCGACAGAAAAACTCACCTCCTACTTCTGGGCTCAAATCTTTCCTTTCCTATCTCCAATTCTTGCCTTGAAGTCGCGTGTAGCTAAAATCCATTTATTCCTGCAAAGATTTTCTACCTCCTTGGAGAACACAGGCCTCCGATGTCTCCGGCAGCCTCGAGTCTGTGACATTCTGGAAGCATGGAAAGCTTGGACTTGCTGGGATTCCTCATCATCACGTTAAACTGCAATGTGACCATGGTGGGTGAGTGTCAGGAAAACCTCCAAACTCCTGCTTGGTTTTTGCTTTTGTTGTTATCTTGGAATTGAATCCTTCTTAAAAGGTCAAAGCATTTTCTAACTTTCAGTTTGCCTGGCCTACCCCCGAAAGAAAGGCTTGTGTGGTGCTGGAGGAAAGGGAGCAATTAGCTGGGTTCCAGCTTTCCTCTAATTGCTCCACGGTTCCACCATCGTTTAAGGAAGTCTTGGGTATCAACACTGTTCTCTCACGTGGTCTCTTCTTACTGACACCCGGGTGCTGAGCCTGAGGCCAGTGCAGGTGGAACGCGTATTTTTGCATAATACAGAATACAGTAACAGTTAATGAGAAAGTAACACCTGAATTATGCTTTCTTCTCCTTCATCTTTTTGGATTTTATCCTCGAAGCTTAATTTGTAATGATTAGTAATGTCTCGTGCACTTTAAACTAAACCCCAATTTTAGTTTAGTTAGTTTTTGAACAACAACAACAAAAGATTTCTGAGTTTGAAGCAGATGAGTCAAACCTTCAGAGAGGTATGAGTGTCATAGAAAAAGGGACTGAGAAAAGGACTAATACGTGCCTGAGATGTGGTTGACGCTTTTCTCACTCATTGTTATGTAGAATTGAAACATCAATTTGGCATTGAAAGTTCACATCAATGGCTTTATCACACGATGATATTATTCTTTAACTGCCGTCATTTATAATAGAGTTTTGGTTTTCTGATGTCTGGTGTTTTCTCTTTCTCATCATAAAACACAATGTTTTAGGTTATTTTGGCTGTGTTTTAAACATGTTCCAAAATAGATGACCCATGACATGATGATATGGCTTTCAAGTTATTCTGGTTTCCTGGTTTGGTCTCATTTCTTCACAATAAATCAAAGAAGACAAACCTCATTAATTTGTAGTAACTGGAATAGGGAAAAAGGGATCGTGAATTATTTAAGGAATCTGAACAGTGGAATGTTCTTAAAGAAATTCAAAGACCACAGAGCAACATGAAACCTAAGCCCTGTGATTAAATAGAAACCTTGTGGTGACGAGGCCATTCCTGCTGCTTCTTTTCTAGGGAAGATCTGGCTCATCTTCATGGTGCTGTTGAGGGTGGTGGCGGTCGTCCTGGCAGGGTACCCCGTCTACCAGGACGAGCAGGAGAGGTTTGTCTGCAATACTCTGCAGCCGGGATGCGCCAACGTGTGCTACGACGTCTTCTCGCCCGTGTCCCTCCTGCGGTTCTGGCTGATCCAGAGCGTGTCTGTTCTCCTCCCTGACGCTGTCTTCAGTGTCTATGTCCTCCATCAAGGAGCCGTGCTGGCTGCCCTGGGACCCTGCCGGTCACACGGAGGTCCCGTGCTGAGCGCCGGGGAGAGGCGCTGCGCGGGGCGCTGCCAGCCGAGCGTGCCCGACTTCTCCTGCGGCTACATCGCCCACCTCTCCCTTCGGATCCTGCTGGAGGCCGCTTTTGGGGCCTTGCATTACCTGCTCTTTGGATTCTTGGTCCCAAAGACGTTCTCCTGCA